CACCCCCACCCCTGGGGGAGCTTAGATAGCCCCTAAATTAAATTGCAATTTTGGTTTTGTTTTAAGAAACCCCCTTTGGAAGGAGTGCTCACATGCACTGCAGTGTTTCCCATTTAGAAAGAAAAATAAACACTCCTCCATGGGTCTGGCAGTCCAAGCGAAAGAATCCCAGCTGTTTAGGACCCAGGAACGTCAAGGAAACCGCCAGAGAGCAGCGATGCGAATGAGGGCAACCCTGGGAGAATGTGGCAGGCCAACGGTCAGGAGAGGGGAAGAGAACATGGTCCAGGAGCCCAGGCTGGCTCTGAGTGAGCTCAGAAGCTCACAGTCCTCACAAAAGACACAAGCGAAAACCAGACTTGGCGATATGGAATAGAGCTGAGCTTCTCTTTGTCTCCATCACCTAGAAATTGGGTGATTCAGGGAAAGTCCCTTAGCCTCCCTGATCCTCTGCCCTCACCTCAATGAAGGTATGTCACACAGTACACAGGAAGATTCAGTGAGCTAAAATGCCTCACTCATTATTTTCCACCAAGGTGTCTGAAGTGAGTAGTAAGAATCCCAAGGGACTGGAGAGATAGCACAAAGAGTAGGGTGTTTGTTCTGCCTGTGGCCAACCCGAGTTGGGTCTCTGGCAACCCAAATCATCCCTGAGCACTACCAGGAGTAATTCCTGAGTACAGCGGTAGGAGTAACCCCTCAGCATTGCTAGGTGTGACCCAAAAACTAGAAGAAAAAGAACTCACAAAGATGGGATTCTTTGAAATTAGTTTTCCTTTTGGTGGAATCCTTCATATCTCTAGTCTACTAAGGAGACATGGAAATCACAGGGAACTACTGAAAAAAAACACAAATCAGAAAACCAAACCAAACCAAAAAACACAGGAAAGAAAATAGGGCTTAGGAGCAAGGAAGGCTTGCATCTGAATCTCTACCATGGCCCTTGCTGGGCTAGAGCCCCTCCTCAGGGACCTTAGGGATATAGAGGGACATAGAGAATCGGCAGCTGAAAAAAAATGGCAGATCAAACAAAGACCCACACAAGATCCCACTGCATGTAAATCCTGCCCTTCTCCACCCCTCACCCCAGGATTGGCGACAAGGACAGCCTCCCTGATGGATTTATACCCTGACCCTGAGACACAGAAACTCGGGGTTTTAGTATTTAGAGGAGAACAATCACAGAATATTTCATATTTATTCTGCCAAGTTTCTTTGGGGTGGGAACAATTACCACTTAACCCGAAAACCACTTCCTTAGCTCTTCTGCTGCGACCAGCTGATGTTTGAGTGAGATCTTTGCACATCTCGTGATTTGGGGCTGATTATCCTTGGGGGAGGATTAGAACTGATGACTGAGGAAGCTGCCTGCACACTTTTCTTTTCCTTGGGGATGGCGAGCTGCTCTGTGATGTACCCTGAATTCACCTTGCACTTTACTGGGGGATTTCAGCAGCTGGTTTTGTGGCCCCCGAGACCTGGCATGGCCACCCAGGGCCTGGAATTGGCACAGCTGCAGTCTGCAAGGAGAATGCTGGTCCACAGAGGACCAGCCTAGCTTGAAAAGCAAAGGGCTGCCTGTGTCACTCATGGAAAGCACTTTCTGAGTGAAGGCTCTGCAGTGTGGGCTTCAGGGGCCTACCTAGGACAGTGATGGAATAGGTGCTTTCTAACGTCTCACACAGTGAAGTCTACACCTTGATTCTTTATAACCAGCAACCTGGGTGGCTTTGTTCTTAAGAACAACAGTGATAATACAGCCGGTAGGGTATTTGCCTTGTACACAGCATACCGGGGTTTAATCCCCAGCACCCCATATGGTCCCCTGAGCCCAGCTAGAAGTGATATCTGTGCGCAGAGCCGGGAGTAAGTCCTAGGCACCGCTGGATGTGGCCCCCAAACCAACAAACACCCAGATAGCTACTCTGAAAGGTTAGGTGCTCTGCCCAGGACGGCCTGTCTGGTACTGGGATTGCAGAAGGTTGACTATGTTTTCAGATGCACCAAGGCCCTCCCCAGTCTGCCCCTTCGCTCATTCTCTCCCTCAGCAAACTACCTGAACAAAAGAAGCACTGAGGCCTCATGTGCCATTGTTGTGTTTTATTTCTGTTGGGTTTGGGGCTACACCCTATGGCAATCAGAGGTTACTTTCAATGGTGCTTGAGGGGCCATGGGATGCAGGGGATCAAACCAGAGGTCCCTGAATGCAGAGCCACCTCCCTGGGTTCGGGCACTGAGTGGCCACCTCTGTCACCCGAAAGGTTTCCAGGAGGATACTTTTTACCTTCCTGTATTGTCTGAGTACAAAGAACATAGTTCCTTTTGTAACCGACAAAGCAAAACCAAAAGAGATGTCCCATTAAATTCATCTTGCCTTTTTCCTCCACAAAAAAATCCACAAAATAAAACTCTGCATCAGATCCACAATGTAGCAAAGCCCACTGACCTTTGCTTGGAAGCACAGGGGGCATGGGGAGAGGGAGCTGCCTCACAGCAGACACCTCCATTGAGGGTGGAAAGGGGCGCAGACTCCAGCCCTGGGGAAAAAACTTGCTGTCTCTCAGGACCCGCAAGCCCAGAGTGGCAAGATCCAGAATCATTTTCAACAGCCTTTGGAGTCGCCTGCTCAGAGCAGAGCATCCAGAGGAGGAAGTGGAAGTTGCTGCCGGTGCCCAGAGGAGCATCGGAGGACAAGGACTGATCCCCACCCCCCTCACCCGCACACCCTCCCCAACAACTCTGCTGCCCACACGCAACAAAGTGAAGGCTCTAGTTCAGTTAATTAGCAAGGTGGAAGATGAAGGACTTTAATCTCCTGCTTTCTCTTTCACCTGCAAGGCTTCTTTTCTAGGAATTGAACAAGGAATATTATGGAGTGTGTGTGTGTGTGTGTGTGTGTGTGTGTGTGTGTGTGTGTGTGTGTGTATGTGTGTGTTTCTTTCCCCCAAGTAATCCTAAGTCTGCTAGCAGGAAGTTCTCTGTGGGCACCAGATGGCACTCATGAAGTTGGGAAGTGGCCAGGGACAGCTCTAATCCTGGGGAAACTGAGGCCTGAAGGGGACAGTGACCATCCACGGACAAACAGCAGACGAGCCGTACATAGCCGTAGCCTGGAACTCAGCTGCTTTCTTAACAGTCCAGGTTCCAGTCTCTGTGCAGAAGCTGGATAACTAAGGGGCCCAGGGCAGGGCTCTGGGGCAGTTCTCATTCACGACCCCTTTCTGTCAAGACGCATTTTCATGTGCCCCTGAGTAGACAGATATTTAAAATATATATCAAACGCTTACTGATAACAAGTCATGTGGAAGTTTCTTTTTGCTATGGGGGGGGGGGGGGTTGGGTCCCTGGGCCAGGTTCAGGATGCAGAACTTGAAGTGACAAGTATCAGTCACTCTCCTGTTTCTGAAGAAGTCACCTCGAGAGGTGCTGGCTGGAAGAGGAAGCAAAGATGCCACCTGCCTTTGTCACTGGGGCTGGGGGGGACACGTCACCTTGCCACCCAGAGGTGCATGGGTCTTGCCGATGCTGTGAATCTCCCCAACTTCTCCAGCCTGGACCAGGGACCCCTTCCCCTTCCCCCGCTAAACCTGCTACCCTCCACCCCCACCCTGTCCCTGGCCTCTCTGGCAGGTGTCACTTCTGTGCAGCAAAGTTGGGCCCCTCTGCCAGGCTCAGACTCCCTCAGGTCCGAGGAGGTCTCCAGGAGACAGGCAGAGCAGAGCAGAGGGTCACCCCTTAGGTCACCCCAACATTGGCACCACCTCCCGCATCATCAGGGCTGTGTGAAGCCACGATACAAGACAGTCGTGACAAGGTTCTTCTCCCAGGACCCCATCAGAGTACCTGGACGAACTCCACATTGTGTCGTGTGAGGAATCAACTTGAAGAAGCCAAATGACTGACCAAGGTCCCACCAGATGACGCTGAACTTGAATAAAAGATAGATTGCCCGGCCCACGGACCTTCTCTTAGATCCCTTTGAACATCCATTTCCTCTCCAGAATCTGGCCAGGAATTCAACACCACGCAGGCATTTACAACATATACAACTGTATATAAGCCACACACAACCAAAGGTGTTATCTGGGGGTGGGGGGGGTGGAAATCTCAATTTTTCTCTTCTAAGAAACAAGAAATTTGTGGGTCTGGGATGAGGCTCAAGTGGTAGAGCACATGCCTTACACATGTAAGCACGTGCTTTGTAGTGAGCGCACATGCATTCAAGGCATGTGTCGGGTTCTTTATCTTAAACTTTTTTAATTGAGATCCTGAAGTTTAAAATACTATTAATAATGGTTTCTCATGCTCATAATTCTAACATCACACCCATCACCAGTGTACCCACCTTCCCTCTCCCCCCGGCCCCACACCACACACACACACACACACACACACACACACACACACACACACACACACTCTGTCTCTGGCACTGCGTGGGCCTTGGAGCAGCAGTAATCCTGGGCATTTACCCCTTTCAACAACAACGACGACAACAAACAGGGGCAACCCCTTGGCTCTCTTTGAAGTTCCCACCTTACAAGTTCATCACATGCCCTCCTGGAGGAAGGGGCTCCCCTCCTCGCAGAGACACGGACCGGCCTGCGCGGGACACAGAGAGGCTGAGCACCTCGGCCCCAGAGCAGGGAGCACCTGGTGGGAAAGGGGCTGCTGTTCTTCGGCCCCTCCCCTCTGCCCGCGCGTCTGGAGGGTCCCAGAACTTCGGAGATGCCTGCTGAGCGCCCGGCAGCTGCAGGCCCCTGGGCGCAGGTGAGTTCCCGGGGTCGGCGGAGACGCGACAGCTCGGGCTCCAGGCAGGGCTGGGTGGAGGACCCCGATCGCGGCCGGCCAGCCGGTGGGCACCGTCCCGGGCACCGTCCCGGGCACGGGACTCGGCGAGCCGGTCGCAGCCTCCCTCTGCTCCGCGTGGACCCCCCGGGCCCCCGCGCCCCCCGCGCCCCGCCCCCAGCCGCGCCACTTAGGAAGAGAGATGCACTTACCGTTCGCCGCGCCCCCGGGGCTGGCGGAGCCACTTGGAACTAAGAATGAATTAGGGACAAACTCGTCCTCAGAGTCCGAGTCCGCGGCGGGCGGGGCCACGGCGCTGCCTAGCAACCGCCTCCGGCTCTCATTGGCCGGCGGGGAGGGGGGCGGGGAGGGGGACGGCTCGACGGGGGTGGACGACGCGGAGGAACCCTGCAAGGGCGCACCTGCGGGCCACAAAGACAGACACAGACAGGGAAGAAAAGAATGAACATCACTTTTGAGCACACGAGGGGGGCAAGAGAAAACACGCATCGGCGGGAGGGCTCCCGCGCGGGCAGAGCCGGGGGGTGGGGGTGGGGGTGGGCGGGCCCCCTCCCGCGGCACCTGGGCAAGTCCCCCACCTGGCCGCATCCAGGAAGCAGCCGGTGGCGGACTGCTCTGCCTGGCTGGTCCTCCTGGGATGTCCCCGGGGCTCTGAAACCAGGTTCTGACCTTGCGATGCTCCCCCACAAGAGTCGGGGAGAGGTTAGGGGAGGTTGGACCCGGGCCACCGTCCAACCCGGACTTGCTACAGTATCAACACACCGTCCAACCCGGACTTGCTACAGTATCAACACACTGTCCAACCCGGACTTGATACAGTATCAAGAGTCTGACATTTGGGGTGGGCGGTGCAGACCTGGGGCCGCCTTCAGAGGTGCTCAGGACTGATACCTGGCTCTGTGCTCAGGGCTCAGAGGTGCTCAGGTCTGATACCTGGCTCTGTGCTCAGGGCTCAGAGGTGCTCAGGACTGATACCTGGCTCTGTGCTCAGGGGTCACTCATTGGAAGCACTTGGGGGATCCTACATATGAAGTGCTGGGACGGAATGCCAGTCAGCTCCATTCAAGGCAAGCACCTAGCTCTCTGTTCTGTCTCTGTCTCTCGGTCTGTCTCTGTATCTCTGTCTCTCACTCTCTTTTTTCTCTGTGTGTCTGTGCCCCCCAGCCTCAATTCTGAAATTCTCTGCAACTTCAGTGAGAGGAAGAATCTTATCAGTCTACCAGCAGGCACTAAATTAATGCCTGCTAATATACCAGGACCTCAATACATTCCTTTGGATCTAACAGTCTCCATTTAAATAATTCTATAATTTTTTTAAAAATTATTATATGGGGCTTGGGAGGGGAACCATACCTGGCTGCAGTCAGGGCTTAGTCCTGGTTCTAAACTCCTGACCGGGGCTCAGGGGACTATCTATGAAGCACTTGTGTGTGTGTGTGTGTGGGGGGGGGGCAGTGTCAGACCCAGGCCCGCCTCTTGCAAGGCAAGCGCCTTCCCTACCATGTCACCTCCCTGGTCCTCAAGTCTTGAATGTGATGCCAGTAGCTTTCCTGGGGTTCTCAGCTGCACTCTCAAGTCTCCGGCATGCCAGAGTCTCACAGATGCCCACGGCTCGGAAACCCTCGTGCTCCGAGGGCCTGATCACACTTGTGGCTCTTCAGGAGGGGCTGAGCAGCTGGGACCAGACAGTCCAGCCTTGACATGTGCACATGTGCAGTACATGGTGGACAGGAGGGGACACAGGCACAGACATACACAAGTGCACAGCACGAGGTGACGAGGTGACCATCCACTCCACACAGTGGGGAAGGGGTTGCTGTCCCCCCCCACCCCGACTTGGGGGGGGTTAGGAGGAGTGAGACAGAATCAACCCCACCCGGCATTGCATAGACACCAGACACGGGCCCGCAGGAAATTGTGGAGCGCTTCTCATGCCCTTGCAGAGCTCCCAGGAAGAGATGGAGAGAGACGGAGATGGAGCTGGGAAAACGCAACACATTTTGTGGTCTTTCCACCTGAGAGAGCATGCTAGGTCCACCACAGCCACCAAGTTCTCAGATCTTTATAGTGACCCCTGCTGTGACCCCCCTACGGTATCCGGCTGATTCTTCTTAAAATTCAGTAGGAGCGGCTAAGGCACCAGAGATCAGTGGCTATGATACTGTCTCTGAGTGGCTGCCCCTCCTGTGTTTTTGCCCCACAATCTAAAAATGTGGTTTCACTTCAAAAGTGCTCCAAACCGATGCTCCCCACCCCCACCCGCCTTGTGGGAGCTGTGATTTCTCTGGCCAGCCAGCATTATGCGGTGGTGATTCCTTGCCGTGAGCTAGCCTGGCCTTTTAGACAGACACTGCCCCTGGCCTTCTGTGTTTGCAGGGAACTCTCTCTGCCCCTCCTCCCCCATACACACACATAGGAGAGCCAGTTCAAGCCTGGTGTACACCACTTACTTGGGGCGCTTTGAGCCCAACAATCTGGGCTGAAACCTGGCTTCCGACTAGCTGCGTGATGGTGGGGGGGGGCTCATTTTCAGTCCCTCATTTTTAAATTGGGCACCCCCTCTCCTTCTGTATTGTCGTGAGGTCTATAGGTGCTACACCTGAGTGCCCAGTGTTCAATTTCGTGGAGTGACCAGGTCAGCGTACCAGAAGTTTATCACATTGAACGAAACCACCCCTTTCCTGACCCTCCATCCACTGCAATTCCATTGTGGGCAAGATTTTTGTGGGCCAGTCTGCATTTCTTAAGCAAATATGCATTCATTTCCTCCTCTCTCATTAACCACAGACATCATGCCATCTCTGACCAGAACTTCTGATATGCTGAGATAACTAACACCAGTCCAGGTTGAGTTGGGAGGATGTCAGGCAGCAGGAGAGAAACATGATCTGTCAGTGCAGAGGGTTTGCTTCAATCTCTTCCTGAATAAATCTGTCAAACTTTATGGCAGAGATAGTTCCAGAACTGCAGGGAGCAAATGGTTTTGTCCTAAACGGCAGAGACCTGTGGCTTCTCCTCTCACCCAGCCTCTGGGCCCCCCTCAATCCCTTGGCCCATTCTCACAGTCCTAACCGGCCATGCAAGCCCCCAAACATGGTGTCTTGCCTTCTGACGGTGCATATAACTCATGGGGGTTCTGTGAAATATAAAGCAGGTGGATTCCTTTTCTCTTAGGTTTTAGCAATTCTTATTTAAATGACCTTAAGCTGGGGTCACACTTATTCACTGCTGGTGGGAACGTCAATTGGTTAACCATATAGGGAAAAACAATATATAGACACTTATCACAAAATTAGAAATTGAGCTTCTGTACCGTCCAGCAATTCCACTTCTGCGCATCTACCTCACGTGTCCAAAACCTCAATTTAGAAAAAGACATTTGCACTCTTATGTTCATTGCGACATTGTTCACAATATCTAGAAATAACCCCAAGTTTCCAATATGAGATGGCTGGATAAAGAAACGGTGGTACATATACACGATGGAATACTACTCAGCCATAAGCAAGAATGAAATTATGAAACTTATTGCCCCAGATAAAAAATGAAATCATGAAATTTACTTTCATGTGGATGGATCTGGAGAGTGTCATGCTGAATGAAGTCAGTAAGAAGCAGAGGGACAGGCACAGAGTGAGTTTTCTCACAAGCGGTCCATAAAGCAATAGAACAGGGGCATAACAAACCCCCAAAGGTAACAGAGCCTGAGGATACCTTCAAGTAAGAAGGTTATAATGGGAGTCGGAAGGCGGAGAGGTGAGGTCCTCTGGGACATTGAAGGTATGGTGCTGGAATAGGTCATGCATCAAACCCTAGTAATAACAGCTGAAAACTCTGGTGCCCCCCTTAAAATAAATAATAATAAAAGCTAAGGTCACAGAACCATCCACTGAGGATGGTTCCTTTAAAAGAAAGTACAAGAAAACATTATGTTCATTTTTATCTCATTCTTTTCAAATAACAATTTTGATTAAATATATAAAATACACCAGTGCCCAAATTACATATCAAAAGAATTGCTTCAGGGGCTGGAGAGATAGCACAGCAGGTAGGGCGTTTGCCTTGCACGCGGCCAACCAGGGTTCGATTCCCAGCATCCCATATGGTCCCCTGAGCACTCCAGGAGTAACTCCTGAGCACAGAGCCAGGAGTAACCCCGTAACTTCTGTGCATCGCTGGGTGTGACCCAAAAAGCAAAACAAAACAAAACAAAAAAAGCATTGCTTCAGGGGCCAGAGTGATAGTACTGTGGGTAGGGTATTTGCCTTGCAGGTGTCTGACCAGGGTTCTATCCCCATCCGAAATGGTCCCCTGAGCACCACCAGGAGTACTTCCCGAGTGCAGAGCCAGGAGTAAGACCTGAGCAAAAGGGAAAAAAAAAAAACCATTTCTCCATCAATCCAGCGTGGGCTCCAGACTGCCTACCTTTTGGATTCCAATCTTGCTGACTCGGTGACGTTACCCCGTGTGCCTCAATTTCCCCATCTGTATAACAAAGATTGAAAAAAAACAGTTGAAACCAAGCCCACTTCCAGGGGTGCTCAGAGACTGGAAGGCGGAACATGTCTGAATGTGCAGTACTGGGAAAGCCCCTGAGGAACAGCTGCGTTTGTCTGCCTGCATGTGCAAAAGCAAGCCGTGGACGTGTTTTTTTTTTTTCTGATCTTTTTAATAGGAGCGGGTGAAAGACGGCACGAAGTCTGGCCAGCACTGATTCCATAGGCATTTTGTTTGTTTGGTTTGGGGCCACGCCCAACAGTGCTGGGGGCTTATCTGACCGTGTGCAGGGCAAGCGCCTAACGTGCTCCAGGGTTTATGTTTATGTCCAGACACGGAGGCTCATCCCCAATAAAGTTGGTGGGTGGGAAGAAAAGAGGGATTCTCTGGAAGGGGATCTGAGAGACCCCAACCCAGCGTAAGGATGGGAGTGTGGCCAAGGTTGAGGTGGGGGCTAGGGCGGATGGGGGGGCCGGGTCCATGGAGTGAAAATCAGCCCTGGATAAGAGGAGGAGGAGGCAATGGCAGAGCAGCTGAAACATATGAACTGAGAGGCGGCACAAGCTTCATGTGGACCAGACTCCCAGCCCGGCAGCGCAGACTCTGGCCTCCTTGGCTAAGTCATTCCACTTCCTTTGGACTCAGCAAAAAATAGGGTGCTAAGCCCAAGGCAGAGAGTTGCTAGGGGCATTGGTGATATGCTCCTAAGGGGCCCAGCAGAGTCAACGTGACCCACTGATGCCCTTGGCTGCAGTTTCTCCAACAGGGCAGGTGAGGGAGGGGGTTGCGAGGCAGGGAGGGGGGGAGTTCTGGGGTGAGAAGAGGCTGTTTTAAAGAGAAAATAGGCACACATTTGGCCAGCCGGCCAACAACAGTGACATTCTGGATCCCTTGGCATTGGCGG